GTTGACATTATAGTGCACCACTGTGATGTTTTGTGGAAGAGACAGATGATCAAGGTCCCTCCTAACTAAGTTCTGACACAGGGCAGGAGAGTTACTATATCCTGGAGGTAAAACTGTAAAGGTATTGTCTTAGTTTCTATTGCTGTGAAGAGACACCATGACCACAGCAACTCTTATAAAGGGAAACATTTAATTGGGGTAGCTTGCTTACAGTTCAGAGGTTCATCCATTATCATCACGGTGGGACATGGCAGCGTGCAGGCAGACGTGGTGCTGGAGAAGTAGCTGAGAGTCCTACATTTTGCAGGAACAGGAACTAGACTGTCACACTAGACTGCGGTATCCTGAGCATGGGAGACCTCAAAGCCTGCCTCCATAATGAGACACTTCTTCCAACAAGGCCACACTCACTCTAACAAAGTAAAACCCCCTAATAGTGCCACTCCTTTTAGGGGCCATCTTCTTTTAAACCACCACAGGTATAGTGCTGGCCTCGCCAACTGAAAGCAAATTGCTTCTGGTGGTCCTTATGGGTAGGCACTGAGAAAAAGACATTTGGTAAATCAATAGCTGCATACCATGTACCAGGAGATGTGTTAATTTGCCCAGTGTAAGGACACCACATCTGGTACAGCTGCTGCAATCGGAGTCATTGCTTGAGTTTTTGACAGACAACTGTCAGTCTCCATGATCCATCTGTCTTCTGCACTGTCCAGACAGGAGAGTTAAAGGGAGATATGGTGGGAACCACCACCCCTGCATCTTTCAAGTCCTTGACGGTGGCACTAATTTCTGCAGTTCCTCTGGGGATGCGATACTGTTTTTTGATTTACTATTTCCTTTGGCAAAGGCAACTCTAAAGGCTCCCATTTAGTCTTTCCAACCATAATAGCCCTCACTCTGCAGGGTCATGGAACCAATGTGAGAATTCTGCCAACTTCTAAGTATATCTATCCTAATTATAAATTCTGGAACTGGGAAAATAACAACAGGATGAGTTCAGGGACCTACTGGACCTACTGTGAGTAGGACATCAGCCAAAACTCCATTAATCATCTGCTCTCCATAAGCTCCTACTTTAACTGGTGGGCGACAGCGTTTTTTGGGGTCTCCCGGAATCAGTGTCAATTAAGAACCAGTATCCAATAGACCCCAGAAAGTCTGATTGTTTCCCTTCCTCCAGTACAGTTACACTCATGAAAGGCTGTAGGTCCCTCTGGGGAAGGACTGGAGAAAGGCTAACGGTAAAACCCGTTAGGTATTTTATCAAGTCCTTCCTCAGGGAACCTGGCATCCCTTCATTCAAGGGGTTCTGGTCTAAAAACTAGCTCAAGTCTGGAAACTGATTCACGGGCCAAGATTGCCTTTTGCTACTATCCTTTGTAGCCTTTCTCTCATTTGAGAATTTCCCCACTTATACGGATCAAACAGAAATGCAGTAGGCTTCTTATCTATTTAATGCCTGGAAACACTGTGATTGATTAGCCACAACAAAAGGTGCATATGATGGCTGGAGAGATGGCTCAGAGGTTAAGAGCACTGACTGCTCTTCCAGAGGTCCTGAGTTCAATTCCCAGCAACCACGTGGTGGCTCACAACCATCTGTAATGAGATCTGGTGCCCTCTTCTGACCTGCAGACATATATGCTGTATACATAACAAACAAACAAACAAACAAATCTTTTTTTAAAAAAAAGGTCCATATGAGTTGTGCCATCATAATCATAAAATTCACTTTGCCTGTTCTGCCCATTATGGGCCAGGCCTTTATGAACATTGATTTGTCTGTGCTGTCCGTTATGATAACTACAATCATCTACCTTTGGCAATGCAATGCAGTTGCCTTGGGGCCCAATTAAACCATTGCATTTAATTCATCCAGTTGAGCAACAGATCTCCAACCCTAAGGGCAGTCACAAGGAAAATGGCGACAAGACTCTTCAAGTGGGCTGGTGCCCCTCTCACTATTTTGTGTTTTATAGGATCAGTGATGGACATGAGTTCTAGTTTTCCCATTGTGGAGGTTTTACACAGTGTACCAGAACTGATGTAAAGAGAGCTGGGTGTGGTGGCCTGTACTTGCAATCCCAGCTCCTGAGCCTTAAAATCCCTTCATCAACACTAAGCCAAGGGATATCAGGCATCTTGGAATCAAAGCTTTGTGTCTGTAAGTCAGGCACACATACTGAGCTATCTCAGCCCATAATTCAATTTCTTTAGAAAAGTATTTTACCCGGGGCTAGAGAGATGGCTCAGCAGTTAAGAGCACTGGCTGCTCTTCCAGAGGACCCAGGTTTCATTCCCAGCACCCACATGGCAGCTCACAACTGTCTGTAACTCCAATTTCAGGGGTTCCGACATCCTCACACAGACATACATACAGGCAAAACACCAATGCACACAAAATAAAAATAAACAGAGGGTTGAAATTGAGTCCTGCATGCTGTGATGGGTCATAGTGGTTTATCTGGGAGGCTGAGGTGAGGAAGATCTTGTGTTTTCTGTTCGTTTACTTCGAGACTAGCTGTGTAACCCCAGGATGGCCTTGAACATACTCTTCCTGCCTCTGCCTCCCAGGTGCTAGGGATACAGGTGTGTGCTACCGTGCTCAGTTGAATTGAGAATATTTAAAGGGACAATAAAGGTTATATATGTTTTGAAAAATAAACAGCAATTATCCATGGCTAGAATAATCAATAAGGATGGCGCCAGTCTAAGGTTTAATAGGGCATTGCAGAAATTCTTTATGTAAGTAAGGTTGTGGTGGCCTTTGTGCACAGCTGTGGTTTTTAGATGCACCACATCATGTAGCAGCTGTTAAGCAGACTCATGTACACATCATAGCCCTCCCCCTTTGGCTTTCTACTTCTGCTTTGTTTTGGATTTGGCATAAGTGACTCCATTTTGATTCTGACAATATTTACATAACAGACATAATAAAACTAAGCTTTTGCTCTTTGCTTGCTTGCCCCTGCCTTGCTAGCACATCCATTCCTTCACTACTGTAGAGCCTACCTCTTCGGGATTCCAGCATGTACAGAAGACCAGCTGAGACATCCAGCCTTGTGGACTGAGCAACTAACTCCTGGATTTTTGCACTTTCCATTCACAACTGGACCAGGGGAATTGAACTCAGCCTGTCAGGTTTAGTAGCAAATATTTTTACCCACTGTCTTAGTCAGTGTTCTACTTCTGTGAAGAGACACCATGACCACTGCAACTCTTACAAAGGAAAACATTTAATTGGGGCTGGCTTACAGTTCGGAGGTTTAGTCCATTGTCATCATGGCAGGAAGCATGGTGGCGTGTAGGCAGACACGGTGCTGGAGAAGGAGGCAAGAGTTCTACATTGGATTGGCAGGAAGAGAGAGTGAGACACTGGGTCTGACTTGAGCATCAGAAACCTCAAAGCCTGCCTGGAGTGACACACTTCCTTCAACAAGGTCACACCTGCTCCAACAAGGCCACACCCCCTAATAGTGCCACTCCCTATGGGTCTAGGGGCCATTTTCATTCAGACCATCACAAGCTCTTTGCTTTTTAGAATGACCAGAACTCCCAGGTAAGTTCATCTTTTCTTTCTCTCCTTTTTTAAAAAATGTGCATGACTGCTTTGACAGCATGTATAAAATTGTGCACTGTATGTCATAAGAGGGCATTGGATCCCCCTGGAACTGGAGTTGCAGATAGTTGTAAGCCACCATGTGAATGCTGGGAACCAGATCCCAGATCCTTTGCAAGATCAGCCACCGCTCCAGCTCCAGGTGGGTCTATCTTGTGCATTTCCTGCTCCAGACTTGGAGTTACAATTTTTTTTTTTCCAGGAAAGATCAGGGATTTAAAAGTTTTTCTTTTTCTTGTTCAGCATTTTAAAAGTGAAAGCTCTGGGCCAGATGTGATGGCTCATATCTGTAATACCAGAAATCTGGCTGAGAAACGAACATTTAGAGGTGAAGGCCAGCCTGGACTACATATAAAGACCCTGTCTCAAAACACCAAAAACAAAATAAAACAAAGCAAACCAATAAATTAGCAAAGTGGAAAAAAAAATCTCCCTTATCCCCAGCAGCCCCTGTAGGTTCTGTAGGTTCTTCGTGGTGGGGTGTGGGCCAGCCCTAAGTGTGTCCTGCCTTACCCTTGTCAATACACCGAACTGTTTGCCATTTCGCCAGACAAGCTGCTCACCCCTGATGTGGGGCTTTGTACACTCTGGTGTCTCCTTGCATGACTTTCTTGTCCCTCTGACGCTGCAAACCTTGTCTCTTTGTTAGAACTAATGACAGGCCTGTCATCTGAGGGAGCTTGGCAATTTGCTGCAGGAGTCAAAACATATTGTTAAGAATTTATTAGTTAGCTTCCCTCCCTGAGGGCTGCACACACATCTGACACACGCATGCATTGGGGCTGCTTCCCAAGCGTGTCAACCTTGCTCTCATCTCCTGCTCTGGTCCCTGACAAAATGTAGCACAGAGCTCTCTAGCTAATAATGACACTCACTGAGCATCTACTATCAAATGTGCTCCATCTCATTACAGCCGCTGAATTGTCTTCATTATACACAAGAGCAAAAGGAAGCTCGTGAAGTGGCTACAGTCCCCACAGCTAGGGATTGGGCCCTGGCTGGATTTCCCTCGATCTGACTCCCAGAGCCTGGGATTTGCTGTCCAAGACCCACGGCTGTCCAGAGCAGCGCCCAAGCGCACCTCGTGGCCTTCATTCACCATTGTTCCCCTGGCGCCTGGTACAGGCGGGACAGCAGCCCCGGGTGGGAGCCTGAAGCTCGAGGTGCCTTCCACGTTGCCTGCCCAGCTCTTGGCCCACGGTGCTCCACCTGAGCCTGAGCAGTGGAGGAACCCACGCGGGTCCACGCGCGCCCCGGGTCCCCGCACGGCTCACGTGAGGGCCCCACCCGTCCCGCCCACTCCTCCACCGACCCCGCCCTGCCCCGCCCTCCGAACAGGCCCCGCCCAGTCCCCTTCCCGCCCCGCCCCCACTCCGTTCTCGACCGCGCTCGGGTCCACAGCTCTATGGGGAAAGCGGCCGCTCTGAGCCGAGGCGGCGGCTGCGCTGGCCGCTCCCGCGGGCTGTCGTCGCTGTTCACGGTTGTCCCCTGCCTGTCCTGCCACACGGCGGCGCCGGGCATGAGCTCGTCTACATCCGGCTCAGGGCCGGAGCCCAAGCCCCAGCTCCAGCCTGTGCAGGCACCAGAGCGGGAGTTGCTGTCCGAACAGGTGTGCAAGCCAGTTTTTGAACCGGTGCCGAGATCTGAACCCGGGCCCCAGACGACGTCTGAGCCAGGGCCCTCGGGGGCTGGGCAGGAATCGGAGCTACAGGATTTATGGCTGGAGTCAGAGGCGGGCCCAAGAGCAGGTGCTGGGCCCTTCACCAAAATCTCATCGGAGGAGCTAACCTCTCTGGGGTCAACTGTAGGCAACGCGCCCCTGGCCAAGCCTGAGCCCAGGTCGGTGTCCAAGCCCCAGCCGCTTCAGCGACCAGGACAGGCGAAGACTTCTGTCGGGAGTCCAGTTTCAGGGGCTGGTGTCCCAATGGTCGCACCACCTCTGGACAGCTACAAGGGCTGGCTCCTCAAGTGGACTAATTACCTGAAAGGCTACCAGCGCCGCTGGTTCGTGCTGGGCAATGGCCTGCTGTCCTACTACAGGTACGGAAGTGCCGGGGAGGTCTGAGGTTGGAGGGTGGTGATGGCGGGCCTCGACTGTGGTGTGTCACCACAACCTTCTGAGATGTTTGGAAGCATGAACTCCTGTAGAAGTAGTGCCTGGCAACTGCCACGGGTGGATGTGACCTGTGGACATGGTCTCTGGCAAGCTCGGCGTTAAAGGGTTTGTGGGGAGATGGAGTGGAGGAGTGAACCAGGTTCTCAGTCCCCCTCCTGCTTTGGTAGTTGTGGAGCCTTGGGAGGACAGCCATAGCCAGCCCTGTACAGTCCTTGCTGTTTTCTGGTTCACTGTGTTAGGAATGGAAGGAGACAGTTACTAAACTCCACACTTAGGGTCCTCTCTTGGGAAGGGCTGCTGTTCCTCCTTCAGGCGGCTACTCAGTTTGTGTCCTACCTTCGCTGGGACTAGCAGACCCACAGCTATTATCAGACACAGGGTGTGCCCTTTGGGAACCCGAGCTGATGTTCTGTGCAGAACGGACACTTTTCCTGCAGAGACATGGCTAACGCTACCCCCCACTAATGCTGGTCGGAAGTGGGAACTTCCCCAAGGCTTCCTTCCCTTTCACGCTAGGTATTTCCTGGGAGTTTAAGCTTCTCGGTCTCAGGTCACTCTAGATCAGTGGTTCTCAAACTCGGTGGGATTGCTGCAACAACATCTAGGCCTCTCTCTGAATCCCTCCTGCAGTAGACCCGAGGGAAGGGATGGCTTTTCTGAAAGCTCCCGAGGAAGGACTGTGATGCTGGTCCAGGGTCACACTCCAAGGAGCTCTCCTTCACTGTTGTGGACAGAGTTCCTGTTGGAGCTTGGGTTCCCTGAGTCACTTGGCTCTGATAATACTTCAGGTCCTTGCCACAGGGTTTAGGCTGTTCTCCCCAGCCCTTTGGAGACCAAGTGCCTGGTTTAGTTAAGTGTGCTATGCCTGAGAATTGTTGCGCTCAACTGCACCAAGGTGGGGGTCATTGGCCATGCTTGCTTCCCGGTGGAGGAGAAAGTCAAGATGAGTCTGAATGTGTCCTACACACGCAGTGTCGTGGTGTCCTTTGCCCCCCCCCCCCTCAGCTGTGACCCAGAACACACTGTCCTTAGAGTTAGCATACCAACCAACAGGAGATCCTTTCCAGACGTGATTTTAATTTATCTTAACATACACTTCTGTCATGCAACTATTTCACCCAGATAGGCCTCGGCAGGGGCTCTCAGTGAATTGCTGAGTTACTTCCTTTGGAGGCAAGGGGCATCATGTCAGCTGTGGACCACACACTTCATTTCATCCCTCTAGCCGTGGTGTGAGGTAGATTTTAATGTCGTCTTATTGCACAAGTGGATATTCTGAGCCCCGAGAACATAGCTTTGTCATCTGGTCACCTGCCCAGAGATTCTTACTCAGGCCTCTTGGATGCAAAGCTCTTCAGTGATCTCACCCCTGGAGAACCAACTTGTCTGGAAGCTTGCTTACTAAAAAAATGTTAGTTTTTAGAAAACTACCCTGCGACATGAAGTAACACACGAGATAAGCCTGTTCCATGATTGTACCAAGCACAGTCACCCTGGATTCCGGCTTCCAGTACTGTCTGTGCTTGGTAGGTGTGCTAAACTGTAGAGGTCAAAGTAGGACGTGTATGACCTCGCCGCATGCTGGTTTGATTTGTTTGCATTAGAAAAGCAAAGGTTCCCCATTCTGGCTTCTTCCCATGGTTTTGTATAGACAGTTGGCATTTGAAGGTAATCCTAGGATGCAGATTCTCTGGGCCACTAAGAAAAAAAAAAAACCCTTACTGCTTGCTGACAAGGTTGTAGAGATGAACTCTGGTTTGGAGGAAGAAGGAAGAGAGAAAAAGTTTCTCTCTCTCTCTCTCTCTCTCTCTCTCTCTCTCTCTCTCTCTCTGTGTGTGTGTGTGTGTGTGTGTGTGTGTGTGTATGTGTAAAGCCAACTTCTGTCACTTCATTAGGCTGTTTCTAGAGTCCAGGTGGGTATAGTTGTTCTTGGCTCAGCTAGGGGTAATGAGTGATCCTGACATTTATCCATTTGTGCGTTCATAGTTTCATATAAAGTCTGCTGGGAAGGGGAAACTGAGGCTGAAGGAATGAGCGTTAGTAGCTTATCCGCTGGCACCCCGATCACAGTACGTGTCAAGATGGAGAATGTCCCTTGGAGAAGCTGGGTCAGCCGCTCTTCTGCTCTGCGTTTCCTGCACGTGACACCACGTTACTGTCCCTCCTGGCCTGTTCTCTTTCCCTGAGATAGCCTCCCTGTGTAGCCCAGGCTGACCTTAAACTCTTTTTTTTTTTTTTTTTTTTTTTTACCTTAAACTCTTGGCCTTTGTGCCTCAGACTTGGCTAAAGAATACATTCTAAAGAACTAGTTAGCTGCTGTTCAATTATTGGGTGAGGAGGAACTCATGTGGAGGTCAGAGGAGGCTGTCAGGAGAGAGTTCTCTCCTTCCACCCTGTGGGTCCGGGGGATTGACCTCAGGTCACCAGGCTTGGCAGCAGGCACCTTCACCCACTGAGCCCTCTCGCTGGTCCTGTTGAGCTGTTTTTAAAACATTACATATTTAGAATTATTTTATGTATGAATGTTTTACCTACATCTATGTCTATTCACCATATGTTTGCCTGGTACCCTTGGAGGTCAGAGGGGGGCATCAGATCACCTGGAACTGGAGTGACAGATGGTTGTGAACCACCATGTGGGTGCTGGGAATTGAACCCAGGTCCTTTGCAAGAGCAGCCAGTGAAGCCTTGCTCTTAACACTGCAATTAAACCCTCATCTAAGGAGGAGGGGAAGCATCCCATGAAATTAAAAAAAAAAAAAATTTCCCTCTAAAACTGTAAAATAAAAACACCCATACTCCTGCAGTTAACCCTGACAACTACCTTTATTCTTCGTGCTTTAAACCTAACTCATGATGCAAAACCAAACAAAAGCAGAGGCCATTGCTTTGAAATGTTCCACAGCAACCCAGATGATGAGCTAGCCTTTGCTCATGCTTCGTAGCAGTGAATCAGGACAAGACAGATTTGCTAATGTGCGTTTCATCGCCAATGGACTGAAGCTGCCCGGTCTTTTATTTTTGAACGGTTTCTAAGAGAGTGTTTATTGAACGCAAACAAAGGCAGCGGCAGTCTCGGAGACCAGAAGTGGCACACGCTTGGTCAGACCGAATTACGTGTTACTCACAGTGTGGAGCCTGGTCCATGCTCCTGCTTCTACAGTTTGGGCTTTGTTGGCCTTGCACAACTCTGTCCATCGCCTGCTGATTAATCATCTGTATCAGGAGCCCTTCACGAAGGGACCAATAGCAGCATTGTGTAGATCTTCAGGGCTAGGGATCACTTACCTTTCAAAACATCTAAATGTATTCTTCCCAATTTAGCTAAATTAGTGTGCCGATTTATGGCCCCAAAATACACTTCAGGTGCCTCCATTGGGTATTCTGAAAGGAAGAGTTCAACCTCAAAAGTCTGTGAGGGAATCCTGGGGACCAGGAACAACCATATGAAAATAAGGGGTGCTGCTCTCCCCAGGCTTGACTTAGTGCCAAGGACTGGTTCCATCAGCAAAGGCTGGCTCTCCCCAGGGGCCTGTGAGGCAGCCTGGCCATCCTGATAGTCTGGTTTTTTGCCTCACAGTGCCTAGGCCAACAGATGGATGCGGTGACATTGATGCTACCAGGAGTCAAAGGATGCTGCTTATAAATACTGTCACATGTGAGCAGTATTTCTGGGAGGTGTGGTCACTGTACACAGTGCTCTCCAACAATGTGGTAAGACACAGTAAGATGGAGGGTGAGATGTTTGTTCTTCATTGCCTGGCACCCTTAGTTATGTGTCTGTTCAGACGTCACCCAGGAATACAGTTTCACATTCCAGTTCTGCAGCTAGTTCCCATTTTAAGCATTTTATTCCTAGCTCTTGTCTCACAGAGAACATTTAATTACATGAAATTAGAGAAGAATTCATACCGATACAGAATTTTCAAAGGTATTTATCCCAACAAGTCATTATTATAGAGAACTAAAATGCCCAACATGACCTTTCTCACATTAAGGAAACTGATAAGGTGAGGCAGGATTCTGTGTTGGGTGCCAGTTGCTTGTTTGGTCTCATAAATGACATTTGTTTCTCAGGGGATGATTTCAGACAGAAACACTTTAGAAATGTTTTTATTGCCCATTCTGATCTACGCTCAGTAAGGGGCTAAGCCAGTTAACGAGGAGGACCTTAGCCTAGATCCTGGGAAAAAAGACAGTGGTCAAGTGACAGCAAAACTTAAAGTCCTCTGCTGAAGACCATTGCACATTTGAGGAGCTGGACCCATTTCAGAGTGGGGGCCAGCTAACAAAAATGGCTCCCCTCTTGGTCCCTAGATGGATTATTTATCTCGACTGTGAGCTCAGCATTCCAGAGCCAACCTTGTGGAGGTTGGGCCCCAAGAAAAGCGTTGTTTTTGATGTCACTTCATTAATACTTAATTGATGAAAGGGGGAAACAAAAGCCCATGCGCAGCAAAATGCCTCTGAAAACGTGAAGCGGAGCCGCATATCTGTGGGGTGAGGCACTGAGGCCCTACGGGAGGTAGGCCGATCATATTAGTTAGGCTTGACTTTGAAATGCGGAGTGTTTCATGTGTTCAGAGGCTGGAAGGGAACACACAGACATGAACGTGTGATAACGATGATGAGGGTGGTTGCCAAGAGTGATAAGTAGACCAGGAGGGGTTGGAGATAATGCTGTGCATGCTGACGTTTTTAATGAGTGCTGCTGACATGAACTGTAATTTCCCCCATGAAACCTCCTCTGAACTTTCCTCTTTCCATGAAGAGCTAAAAACCTGAGTCATGCTTGTTGTCCCCTCCCGCCTCATTCCATTCCAGATGGAATTTCCAAGCCCGTGTGTCTTTCCTGTAGTCCCCATCCCTGTCCTGACGCCGCATCGCATCGTAGCTTTAGTCTGCTTTCTGCTTACCTAGTGCC